CAGATCAAACAAATATACTATAAACTCACTCGCTTATACTATAAACTCACTCGCCATATACTATAAACTCACTCGCCAAAACCAACACCAACCATAAGAACCTCCGTTGCCGCCCTGACCTAACCATACAGCAACGTGCCCGCTCCCGTGTACTCCGCATTGAACTCAAAAACCATCTAGACAATGGAGAGAAGGACCTGTACATTGACTACCATGCTGACTGTATCAAAAGTAAGCCACGCAACCCAATACTCAGATTCTACCCTCAACCACAACCCTACCTCAACCGATCCACCATCACCCAAGACTAGGCACGCATGCCCCCAACTACCTCAATTCCAACTACTGCCGGCCTTAAATGCAAACTACTCAATGCAAGAAGCCTCGTGAATAAAATACCTGAATTTCTCATCCTCCTAAATATGGCTAACTTCGACATTATATTTGTCTGTGAAACATGGCTCAATGCATCTCTCCCCGACTCCATTACCACAGTAAGAGACTATCATGTTTACCGATCAGATCGTAAAAATCGTCGAGGAGGTGGTGTTGCTATATTCTATAAAAAATCCTTACATCTAAAAAATATCCAAGTTACCCAGGAGCTTGCTCTTCCTGAGACCATCATCTGTGAACTATCCTTAAATATCACAATTCGATTCTTACTATGTTACAGAGCACCTGATTATGACATCGAACATGTAAACAAGCTAAATACATTACTAACATGGGCTGCATCCTGCCCATACCCTTTTATCTTTCTTGGTGATTTCAATCTACCTCATATTGACTGGACCCTAAATGATTGTACAACTGAAATCATACACACAACCTTCTACAATGCTATTACAAATCTGGGACTGGAACAACTAGTAACCAACAACACTAGACTAAACAACTGCCTCGATCTCATCTTCTGCAATAGTTTGAATTTAATTTACGGAATACAAACTAAAGAACCCTTTTCCAGTAGTGACCACAATATGATTGACTTTTGTCTCAACATACGTCCACACAAAAATCACCACAATGATGTAATCCCCAATTGTAACTTCAAAAAAGGCAACTATGATCTTATACACAACGATCTCTCATCCCTTGATTGGCAATCTCTATTCACTGGATGCAATACCATTGAAGACCATTACAACATATTTTTACTTGAAGTCAAAAGAGTCATCAAACTATATGTACCAACAACAACTCCCAAAACAAAACAAAAAAGCAGATTACCCATATCAATAAGGAAACTTCAATCCAAAAAGAGATCACTCTGGAGGAAAAACAAATCTGGTCACGTTGCCAATTTCAAAAACCGATACAAAAATTTATGCCACCAGATAAAGACCGAATGCACCAATTATCACATTAAACAAGAGGAAAACCTTCTAAGCACCAATTCCACCTGTGCTTTTTACAATTTTGTAAACAACAAACTAAAAGACTCAAGGTCCATCCCTCCCTTGATAGGACCTGATGGTAAAGACTGCAACGACGACACCATTAAAGCCAACATCTTTAACACATTCTTCGGCTCAGTATTTGTAAACAGCAATGGATCATGCCCAGTATTTCCTAGCCGTACCACAGACAACAATAATGATCTAATACATATCGATTTCACAGAAGACAATGTTGAAAAAGCACTACGCAATCTAAAACCATCTCTATCTATTGGACCGGATGGAATATGTGCCTACTTCTTAAGAAAGATATCCACTGCCATAGCCAAACCTCTAAGCATAATCTTTGAAAAATCTTTCAGGACCAGCTCCTTGCCTAACCTATGGTCACAAGCCACAGTCATCCCCATCTTCAAAAAGGGAGACCCAAGCCTAGTTGAAAATTACAGGCCAATCTCCTTATGCTGCGTCACCTGTAAAGTCATGGAATCAATTATTAACCAATCCATCATCCTCCACTTAGAGACAAATAACCTACTCTCCAATAAACAATTTGGTTTCAGAAAAAAACTATCCTGTAATCTACAACTCTTACACTGCAAAAACATATGGACGACACAACTCGACCAGGGCAAAGCAATAGACGCAATCTACATAGACTTCTGTAAAGCCTTTGATTCAGTGGTACACGACAAACTACTCCTAAAAATAAAATCCTATGGTATCTCTGGACAACTGAATAACTGGATAGAAGCATTCCTGTCAAACAGACAACAAATGGTCAAAATCGGAAGCGTCCTATCAAATCCAGTACCTGTCAATAGTGGTGTCCCCCAAGGCAGTGTTCTAGGACCAACTCTCTTCATACTCTACATAAACGACCTCTGTGATCATATTAAGAGCAATTGCGTTCTCTTCGCTGATGATGTAAAGCTGTTCAATACCACAGACAATACTGCTACCCTACAAAAAGATCTTGACTATGTATCAGAATGGTCAAACAAATGGCAACTTCAAATCTCAACAAATAAATGCTCTGTCTTACATATTGGCAAAAAAAAATCAGAAAATAAAATACAAGCTGAATAGTCAAGAACTTGTTGATGACCCAAGCTCTGTAAAGGACCTTGGAATACTCACCTCTAATGATCTAAGTGCTAGAGCCCACTGCAACTACATAGCCAAAAAGGCATTAAGAGTTGTTAACCTAATCCTACGTAGCTTTTTCTCTGGTAATATCACACTACTAACCAGAGCATACAAAACATTTGCTAGACCAATACTCGAATACAGTTCATCAGTCTGGAACCCACATTACGTATCTGATATTAGCACAATTGAGAAAGTCCAGAAATATTTCACAAGAAGAGTTCTCCACTCCTCTACTCGTTGTAGAATACCTTATGCCACCAGACTTGAAATTCTAGAACTAGAAAACCTTGAATTACGCCGTCTTCGGTCTGACTTAAGCATGGTATATAAAATCATACATTGCAATGTCCTACCTGTCAGTGAATACTTCAGCTTCAACCATAACAACACAAGAGCACACAATAGATACAAACTCAAAGTAAACCGCACCAAACTTGATTGCAGGAAATATGACTTCAGCAATAGAGTGGTCAATGTCTGGAATACTCTACCCGACTCTGTAGTTTCTTCCCCAAACCCCAAAAACTTTAACCTTAGACTGTCTACTATTGACCTCACCCCTTTCCTAAGAGGTCTGTAGGGGGCGTGCATAAGCGCACCAACGTGCCTACCGTCCCTGTCCTATTGTTTCTCTTATTCTTTTATTTTTCTTATATGTACCCATTTCATGTATTCACAACTATGTATACACTTATACTTATTATCTTGTAAACAATTGGCAAATCAAATAAATAAATAAATAAATAAATAAATAAATAAATAAATAAATAAATAAATAAATAAATTGCATTATGCTTTTGCCACACAGGGTGAAACTGTCATATGCCTAGAAGCACACAACTGCACATTGTAAAGCTTGTTTAATCCTGGTATCCCTCGCAGGGGGTAAGATGGCTTGCCTGCCAGCCCTTCATGTCAAAATGCACATCCTTATCTCAGACAGGATCTACCCCTTTGCATGGGTGATGGAGAAGTACAGGAGTTCTCAACTCAATCGAGTCCAAAATTTCTGTTGCCAAGTAAAACATTTGTTAATGGAATTTTGCCCCCATTTTATGACCTTTCTTGCCACTGTTGTTAAGTGAATCGCTGCAGCTCTTAAGTTAGCAGCAGGGCTGTTAAGTGAATCTGGCGATACTATTTTGGTTTCTTTTTCCCTTAATATTCAATCAAATACTTTCAGTAGAGATTTCATCCTTGGGATCAGGAAGGAAAGTCCACACGATATACTGTTCGATCAATCAGAATAGAACTGGAAGGGATCTTGGAGGTCTTCTAGTCTAGCCCCCTTGCCAAGCAGGGGACCCTATGCTATTTCAGACTAGTGGCTGTCCAGTCTCTTCTTAAAAACCTTCAATGATGGAGCGCCCAAAATGTCTGGTAGCAAGCAGTTCCACTGGTGAATTGTCCTCATTGTTAGGAAGTGTCTCCTTAATTCCAGGTTGCTTCTTTCCTTGATTAGTTTCCACCCATTGCTTCTTGTCCTGCCTTCAGGTACTTTGGAGAATAATGTGACCCCTCCTCTTTGTGGCATCCCCTCAAATACTGGAATCCTACTATCATGTCTCCCCTAGCCCTTCTTTTCTCTAGATTAGCCAAACCCAAATATTACAACCATTCTTCATATGTTTTCATCTCCAGGTCTTTAATCATCTCAGTTGCTCTTCTTTGCACTTTTTCCAAAGTCTCAACATCATTTCTGTAATGTGGTGACCAAAACTGGATGCAGTATTCCTGCTGTGGCCTTACTAAGGCTCAAGCGGTACTAATACTTCCCATGATTTTGATTCTATGCCTGTGTTTGACAGTGTTGGGTTAAAAATGGGGAGACAGAATAAAGGTAGATCAAACTCAACTCCTGGTAATGACTATTGGGTTCTTCCAGAACTTTACTTCCCATTTCACAGCTATAATCCTGGAATTTTCTGCTGGTGTCTCCAATCCTGTTTAGCTTTTTGAGATAAACAAAGGTTTATCATCTAGTTAGGCAAAACTGAAAACATCTGAGTTAAAAATCTCCGCTCCCAGGAGTTATTAGAAAATCATGGCACACTTTTCTCTCTGTAGCTCATACTATTGTTCATTTTTAAGTCTGGAACTTGCACTGTTGATGATCGGCTGGCCGTCACTTTCCAAAGGATTCGACTTCTGCTTTCAGTTTTAAACTCTAAGACAGATCTCCGGGGGTTTTTTTTTTGTAATAATTGCCGGTACGTAGCTTGTGGTTTAGTCCCTCAAAAATAGGAAAATCAAGACTCAGCAAAAGGCAAAGGATGTGAAACTGTGATTGAAGATTTCTCAGCGTTGGGAGGGTAGAGAGAGTTGAGGCATTTCTTTCACCTTCTGCTTGGATAAAGAGGACAGCCTTCTTGCTGCTCCAGATGTAGAAGGCTATATGCACGCTGAATAACAGCTGGATCAATCCAGTCCATGGGCTAGATCAAAATGACTCCACCTATGGAAAGCGATGATCACCTGCCGATGTCAGTTGCAAAGATTTTCATCTGTTTGATCCTGGGTTTTTCCTTTGTCCTTGGAATCCCTGGGAATTCTTTGGTCATCTGGACCATTTGTGGACAAATGAAGAAAAGGCCTCCCACCGTTGTGCTCATCCTACACCTGGCCGTGGCTGATCTCCTCATCCTTCTGACCCTGCCAATCTGGATCTACTCCTTTGCCAAACACTGGCTCTTTGGGATCGGTGCCTGCAAAGGCCTGGTGTTTGTGATTTACTGCAGCTTGTATGCCAGCGTCTTCTTCATCATGTGTCTCAGTCTCGAGAGGTTTCTGGCTGTCGTTCATCCTTTTGCTCTCCAACGATGGAAGAAGACAATGGTCATCCACCTGGTGGTGGCCACGATCTGGTTCTTCTCTGTCATCCTTGGATCAATCATCATTCCATTTCAGACCATCGACGACACTGTGGCAGGCCCTCAGTGTGCCACGCGTGAGTATGCCACTCCTTCCCAAGAGGTCATCCATCTCTTGTCCGAGACCATTCTGGGTTTCATGGTTCCCTTCACCATCATCTGCACTTGCTACATCTGTGTGGGCAAAAGAATTGGGGTCATGGCTTGCCCATCGAAGCGACGCTCGGCCAAGTTGATCGCATCCGTGGTAGTTATTTTTTGTCTGTGTTGGTTCCCTCACCACTTCGTTAACCTCTTAACGGTCATCTCAGTTCTGCTAGAGGACTCAAATGCAGAGGCCTCGCAAACCCTGGAGAAGGCTTCGGAGACGGGAGCCTGGATTGCAGGTGCAATTGTTTTTATCAGCAGCTGCATCAACCCGCTGCTCTACGCTTTTGCTGCCAGGAACATTCGAAGCAGCGCCAGGCTTACAAAGTTGTCCAAACTCTTTGAACAAGTGGGCCCTTCGGAAAGGCAGCAGCAGTCCAACCTGGAAACACCTTCTCTAGATGAAAAAGAGGAAACTTTTATAAGTGCCAACACGGGGGAAAGTGAGTGCACTCCTGTCCCCTCAGCCTAAAGCCAAATACTGTTCCTAAACTTTAGATACTTGCGCTTGGATTGTGATGAGCTTTTAATCGACCGTCTAAATCAGCATCCCCCAACATTTCTGTGTTTGTGGACCAGCCGGCAGGGGAAGAGATAATTTTATGTGAGGGGCACTGTGAGTATGAGTCGGGTTGCAAGCGCCAGCACCTGCCTATTGGTGTGAATCAGGCTGCGTGTGCACTGGACGCAGCCTGGATGCAAATCGGCCATGGCTCGGTAGTGGGCCACGGCCCGCAGATTGGGGACTGCTGATCTAAATCATATCCAGATTTGTTAACATAAAAACTGCCGCATTCCTCTTGATGTTTTTCTAGACCCTGTTCTACCGTGGTGTGCTACCTGTGGGTAGAATTCCATGCAATTTCATGCAGTACTACAGTTCCAAACATCAGCTGGGTTTTAGAAATTCAGAAATGAGGGATCAGAAGCATGCACCCAAAAAGTGACTGGTGTCACGATTGTGTGAAGCCACTTGTGAAGGTAACGTAATGGAATTAAATTATAAGGAGAAATTTTCTGAAAGCGAGAGCAATCAACCCATGGAACTGAAGCAGCCTTCAAAAGTTGTGGGAGCTTCATCACTGGAGGGTTTCAAGAAGAGACTGGACTGCCATCTGTCAGAAGTGGGGGAGGGTCTCCTGCTTGGATGGAGGGGTTGGACTAGATGACCTACAAGGTCCCTTCCAACTCTTTTAACCTGTTAAATGCATTCTGGCTTTGTCAGTCTACATGTGGACGGTGATCTTATTTAGACTAATAAAAATAGGAGCTTCTTTAAAGATTATATTTCTAAGTAGGATCAGTGCTGCATTATTGACTATGATTCTTGACCATATCAAGATAGTTTCTCCACTCCAATATTTCCTGTTTTGGGTTCCAGTTCACAAGTGCTGGAGAAATCAAAAGCTTTGCTCAGTATTCTATGTTCTGTTGATTATTATTTTTTTTTGTATTGGTTCTAATGAAGGTCATTGGTCAACTGGTAGTTGCTCAGTACATCTCTTAATCTGCTTTTTGTACAAAAGGAGATATAGATAAATGAAGTTTGAGCTAGTTAGATGTTTTGGCATCTATTTTTGTATTTTTGCTTGAGAAGTTCAATAAATAAAGTATGAGTTTTGGGGCTGAGTCCAACAAGATCTAACACGTGGCATGGTGGGTTTTTTTTCATTTGCCAGTGAACTACCTGATTTATTGTATGATTATGGGATGTGTAATAATTATTTTTAAATTTAATCCTCCAGATAACACCCCTTTTCCCCTCATTCATGCAAATTACTGGACAATCTTTTACGAAAGGAGTGAAAAACCATCAGAGGTAAGAAAACATGGACAGCTTTGTGTCAAATATGGTTGATAGAAGTTGATAAGAGGTTGAGTTTGATAGAGGGTGCAACTGTGTTGGACTTTTAAGAAACTCCAATGAATTTCCTAGGATCAGTTCAGGATCTTCTCAAACTGTTCTGACCTACAGAGCTTTAATGATGCATAGAGCATTGGTGAAGAATTCATATTCCCCTCCAGAGTTGCATAACTTTTCAGCCATTACAGGAACAGAAAACTCATAGCTTGATGTACAGTATCAAATGTCGCTTAGCTTGTGGTAGTGCTGCTGTAAATACTTCTTCCATACTGACTATAGGTAGTCCTTGACTTACAACAGTTTGTTTAATGAAGTTACAACGGCACTGAAAAAAAGTGACTTAGGACCATTTTTCAGACCTACAACCATAGCAACACCCCCATGGCTATGTGATTTACGATGTTTCCGATGTTTGACAACTGACTCATACTTATGACTGTGGCTGTCATGTGATCCCCTTTGGCAACCTTCCAACAAGCAAAGTCAACGAGGAAGCCAGATTGTTATTAATTTAACAACTAAGTGCTTCACATAACAAACGTGGCAAGAAAAGTCGTAAAATGGAGCAAAACTCAATTAACAAATTTCTCACTTAGCGACGTACATTTTTGGCTCAGTTGTGATCGTACATTGAGGACCACTTGTAGTTAAGGTCTCATTTTTAGTAGAGGCTTATCAGGTTTTTTTAGGTGTTGGGATTTTATTGGGAATTCCTTTATCTCACAGTTCTTTTTGGGTAGCGATTTTTTTTTATTGGATTGTTTTGTGTGTGTGTGTGTGTGTGTTTGTGTGTGTGTGCATGTGTAGAGGGTCTGCTTTTGTAATTTGGTGCACTGGCATTTTTTTTCTTTTTGTAAACCTCTGAAGATTGTGAACATCAATCTTGTGAACATCAAGCTCAAGTTTAATAAATAAAACAATTATCTACTTTAGATTGCCATATGGGTGTTATTGGCTTTGGATCTTTCATTTGTCTGATTTGGAAAGACCAGCAAATCTATATGTGATTTGTTCAAATTTTACACCATGTTATGGTGAAAGGACAATTTATAGGTATCAAGAAAAACCAGAGCAAAATCAGTAACATTGCAGAAAGGCAGAAAGTAACTTGAAGAAACGGATTCTCACTAGTTGGCTGAACCTGAATCCCAATAGAACAAAAAACTATAATTTAAGGTGTGGAAACATTCCCTTTTCAATCTCTTATCTCTGAACAATAGAATCCTTGGAAGTTAGAAAACTCAGAGGAATTATGGTATGTTCCTGAGAAGACTCTGGTTACCCAAGATAAGAAAAATACTTTGTCCAGGTCTTTGGGAAGATGAAAAAATAGTTTACTTTTGAATAAAAGCTTTTACAGGTAGTCCTTGACTTACGAGCAGAATTGAGCCCAAAATTTATGTTGCTAAGTGAGATATTTTTAAGGTGAATTTTTCCCCATTTAAAATCTTTCCCCCATAAATGTTAAGTGAATCACATAGCTGTTAAGTGAATCTGGCTTCCCCATTGACTTTTCTCATCAGAACTACGCAAAAGGTGACCATCACATGACCCCTGGACACTACAACCGTCATAAAGATGAGTCAGCTGCCAAGCCTCTGAATTTTAATCATGTGAACCATGGGGATGCCATAAGGGTCTTAAGTGTGAAAAATGCTCATGTTACTTTTTTCCGTGCCGTTTTCACTTGAAATGGTTAAAGCTAAGGATTGTTGTAAATCCAGAACTAACTGTCCTTTTACTTGCAAGTTGAGTTCATCATGCTGTCTTCCCAGCAAACGATTGAGAAGTGGTTTTTCACTGTCTTCTTTGAATAGGTTTCATTTGCTTTGATTTTTTTTAAACTTCTCAGTCTAGCTTACATCTTCCAATCTTGCTTATCATTTTTCGAGATCAGTGAAGTTCAACCAGTTGAGCTGGTCCCCTTTGGAAAGAATGCCCAATGAATTTAGGGAGACAGTTTTCTTAAACCTACTTATAGGGTCAAGGTTTAGACGTTTCTGCATTTGTATCTCAGTGAGTGTCACGGAAGAAAATGTTTGTCCAGATTTAACGTTGGTGAAATACTTTCCACTGATTTTATCCGTTGGAGTCAGAGACCATTTTGTCCCAGAAAAAAAAAATTGTTGGTCACACTAAGGTCACTTAACAACTGAATAAGCTTCAGAAAGAAAGAAAAAAAAAGCATTGCAAAAATATCCAAGCAACTTATTAACTTCCAAATTGTAGAGTTAACTTCCAAATGGTAGTTAAAAATAACTTCCTCATTTTGTACTCTACAAACATAACTTCCTTATTTAATATAACTTCCTTAGATATTTGTACTCTACAGTGTATTATTTGTATTGCATAATAAAACAATTAATTTGGGGGGAAATATAAAATTAAGAGGGAGAAAAGGAAACTTGGAATTTCTTGTTAATTCGAAAGACAATTTTGGAAGTTAGCAACCAATTCTCAATCCCCCATTCTCCCTCTTGAATACGTTGTTGGACTACATGGGAGAAGACTTCAAAATAAAGGAATATTTTCAAACAGCGGAGCATTCTGTTCCGGCAAAGATGTTGCCCAGCCATAATTCTCACACTTGGATGTTTAGGGGAAGTCTTGGGAATTGACATCTACTCGTCTTAAAATTGCTAAATGTGAGAAACACTGCATCTCGATCCTTACCCCCTAAACAAGTGAAGGAAGCTGCATTCCTGGCCATAAGAATTTCCCTCCAATTTTCCTTCTCCTCTGAAAGAAATTTTGAAAGCAGACGTTTTTACAAAGTCAGAAAGAATGGATAGAACAAAAACAAAATTGTTTTTTTAAAAGCACGGTTGCAATTAAAGTACTTCACCGAACGATAACCCAATCAGCAGGATTGCATATCTTACCCACTCCTACAGTGTGTTTCTCCTAGTGCTAGTACAAGTCTGGGAACAAAGCTCCTAGCTATCTTCTCTTCTGAACACACCCAGTTTTTTTCTTTGCACCTCTCTGGCTCCATTAAACCTGTTTGCTGTTCCTGGGCCCAATCTACTGTACAATCACTCACAATGAGAAGGACAAGCTATCCAGGACGAGAAATCTGAAGTACGTGCTTTATTCTTCATTGCTCACATTTCAAAATGCATGTATTTGTTATTTTATTTATCTATCCTATTTAGAAACCACCCATCTCCCTCATTGGGCAAGCAGGCAGTCATTAGCATCGTGGCAAAGGCTGTGTGTATGATAGAGAAAAGAGAACAGCCTATCTGTCATATACAGCAGGTCATGTTCTCTCTGGTTTTCTATGAAATCCCAAGAAAAGATCGATACCAGGAAGGAAATCTCCACTGATTAATTGTTGATGCTGTGGGAAGGTGTCTGAGATAACACAATTGAAAAAGTCCAGAAATATTTCACAAGAAGAGTTCTCCGCTCCTCCACTCATTGCAGAATACCTTATGCCACCAGACTTGAAATTCTAGACCTAGAAAACCTAGAACTACGCCGCTTTCGGTCCGATCTAAATATAGTATATAAAATCATACATTGCAATGTCCTACCTGTCAATGAATACTTCAGCTTCAGCCATAACAACACAAGAGCAAACAATAGATACAAACTCAAGGTTAATTGCACCAAACTTGATTGCAGGAAATACGACTTCAGCAACAGAGTGGTCAATGTCTGGAATACTCTACCTGACTCTGTGGTTTCTTCCCCAAACCCCAAAAACTTTAACCTTAGACTGTCTACTATTGACCTCAACCTCCTTCTTAAGAGGCCTATAGGAGGCGT